GCATGATGTATCATGTATAGTTCAGTTCCCTTTTCATAGTAATCCAATAAGCAATTTCTACATTCTTAGTAGCTTCTAAATAACTTCTGGAAAAGATCTTGCTTTAGGGTACAGACGGTGCATCCAGATCACTGAATAAAAGCTGCTGCTTCTTTGATAACATTTACTGTTGAAACAGATTCATAAAAACATGGCCCCCGGCCCAGACCAGGTCTGTTGTGTCTTCAAACAAACTCTGTCGGCATTGTTAACACTGTTAACTGTTTCTCTCCCTGTGTTTGTGTTTTCTATGCAGCAAGCCAGTGATGCTGCTAAGACTCCCCGCCTGGTGACCCAGCTGCACTTCACCAGCTGGCCTGACTTTGGCGTTCCCTTCTCCCCCATCGGCATGCTCAAGTTCCTGAAAAAGGTCAAGGCGGTGAATCCACCCTTCGCTGGGCCCATTGTGGTTCACTGCAGGTACAAGAAAGCTGAGCTGACGGGACTCATTGTTTGTTATTTTGTTGTTTACTTGAATCCAACATTACTTGTAATGGTTTTAATTATCCAATTTATCGCTATGGAGATAAAAAATATTTGGGCTTGAATATCCTGTGTGTGTGTCTGCAGGCAAACAAAGTCTCAGCAAACATTTTGAGTGACTACAGCGATACATGTGTTTACAAGCACAGATGTCGTTTTGTTTCCCTGCTGTTGTCCATTAAAATGCAAGTGTCAGCTGAGGATTGTGGTTCATTCAGTCTGTGGTCTGCTTTGTGTCGCTGCAGCGCAGGCGTTGGGAGGACGGGAACCTTCATCGTAATAGATGCCATGATTGACATGATGTACGCGGAGCAGAAAGTGGATGTGTTTGGGTTTGTCTCTAAGATACGAGAACAGCGCTCACAGCTCATCCAGACTGATGTGAGTTGGAGACGGATCAAATTCCCACTTGTCTGTCACTTTGGATATACATATCACTTGGCTGTTATCAATGTGAAAGATGCCGATGATGCTTCATCTTTAAATGTACAGCTGTGCCTATGCATGCATAGCATGTGTGTTTATGTGTTTGTGTGTTTTCTCACTCCAGATGCAGTACTCATTCATCTACCAGGCCCTGCTTGAATACTACCTCTATGGAGACACAGAGCTGGACGTGTCATCTCTGGAAGGACATCTGCACAAACTGCACAACACCTTCGCAACCGGTGACCGGGTCGGCCTGGAGGAAGAGTTTAAGGTAAGACATCTTCACATAAAATAAAAAAATGTAAAGCCTGGTACACTACTAAAAACTCATTTAGTTTTGCTAAAGATCCCACTTGATTAAATAGGAGTTTCTTTATTGCAAAATTGCCAAATTTAAAAAAAACAAGTGTAGACAGAATGCATGCAAGTTTTTATTATGTGATGCATAGGTCTAGCCCACAAAAACCCACATTCATATTAGCCAGAACTTGTATTTTTCAAATAACATTACAAAATGTCCAAAAATAAAGAGAACCAATGTCAGTGATTTTCACAATAAGATTTTCAGACACATTAGAGGCAGAACATGTACTATAATACTGAAATCAACGGGTCAGTTTAGCCGCCTTCTCCAGGCTTTTGAGATAAAACATAGAAACTTAAACGTGGTAAAATTGAGCAGCCATTCCAGTTTTTGATCATCTATACACCAGACTATTTATTTGAGGCAATTTCCATTGAAATCATCATCATGTACAATACAACAGAAACTGAGACTCACATTCCACTTCTCCCAAAACACACAGCTCACACCATCTGTTTTCCTCCTGAATATTTGAATCCTCAGTAGCCCAAGGAAGAAAAGCAGCAGCAAGATCTGTGGCTTCTAGATAATCTATTTTTTATCCTGTACCAATTTAATTATGGGATTCCACAGACAGATTATTTCACATTTTCTTGGTGCGCAGTCATGTTACCCTACATTTGAGTAGCTGCTGAACACCTAGGCCTGTGTTAATTGAAAATAATTCTCACTAATACAAGTAACTTGCTGAGATGGACAACAGACACAGTAAACCACATGAGCTGAAGAAGTATTTTAGCACCAAACCCCTCAGTCAAGGCGAGCTAATATAAATAATTAGTTTCTTGTTACATGATACATACAGAAACTTTCATACAGCTATAAATATTTAATGTGATCTATAAATCGACAGTGAGACTTATTTAATTTCCCCATTTGAATTTGTGAGCAAAAGCATGGTGAACATTTACAGGTAACGTTTTTACTTTGCTTCCTTGTCTGTCTGCCCAGAAACTGACCAACATGCGAATAATGAAGGAGAACATGAGAACGGGGAATCTTCCTGCCAACATGAAGAAGAACAGAGTCCTGCAAATTATTCCATGTAAGGAAGAAGGAAAACAATAGTGCAGAATAGTTTTTTCGGCAGCATTGGATAAGTGGTGTTTTTTTTGTTTTTTTTATACCTGATGGTGTGTGAACGTGTTTATGAGCTGCTCTATTCTCAACGGTTCTATTCCCGTTTCAGATGACTTCAACAGAGTTATTCTCTCCATGAGAAGAGGTCAGGAGTTCACCGATTACATCAATGCATCTTTCATAGATGTAAGCGGATTTTATTTTCCTGACGCCTTCCTTCTTGCATGTATTATCCGCTACAGTTCATAGATGTTGCTATTAATGCCCATACTTGGACCTACAAAAGCTGAAGAAGTGTGTGTGCTTTTTGCTGTGACACAGGGCTACAGACAGAAGGACTACTTCATTGCCACCCAGGGCCCTGTGCCACACACAGTGGAGGATTTCTGGAGAATGGTGTGGGAATGGAAATGTCACTCCATTGTCATGCTCACTGAGCTCCAGGAGAGGGAGCAGGTGAGCTGCAGTAGCTGGTGACCACTAGCCAAACTATGATTGACAGCTTCAATAACTGCTACAGCAGTGCAATACAAACCATGTCTGTTCTGATTTCTTGCTTCTGTCACAAAACCAAACTCGTATGTCAGTTAATGTTGCTGTATTTCATATTTTAAGCCAAAACTACTTTAGAATATTTACATTTCATATATTAACCTGCAGTTTCTGTTTGACTTTTCTGGGTTTTTATTTATTTTTTGTTTTTTTTCCTTCAGGACAAATGTTGCCAGTACTGGCCCACAGAGGACTCAATCACCTACGGAGATTACACGGTAGAGCTGAAGGGAGACACTTTGTGTGACACCTTCAGTCTACGAGACTTGGTACTCACCTTTGTCCCGGTAAGCAAATTAACCTCACACTATAACACAGCTGTCACAGAGGCAGTAACACCGCATCACATTTGCCTGTCAAAATAAAAAAAACATTTATTAGCCCTCTTGCAAAATCAGATAAATCACTAAATATGAAAAATGAGCCAGTAACATTGGGTCTTCTTTAAATCATAATGAATTAATTATATGTTGTATTCACATCATCCACTGTAGTAAAGGATACAACAATGTAAAAATACTCCATTACAACTTCAAGTTCTGCATTCAGAACCACAGAAAATGGTCCTTGAGAGAGATAATTATTTTAGCATATTACTGCTGTAGTTGTTAGAGGTGGAGCTAGTTTACATACAGTCATTTAGTCCAGTGTTTCCCAGCCTGGGAGTTTGTGATTAGATCATCAGACACTTATATAAACCAGTTTAGATGGGAAATCAACCAGTCACCCAGAAATGTGATGTGGAGACTGTCCAATCATTCATGTGTAAATATCTGAAACCTAAAATTAACTCCTGAAAATAGTAAAAGGCACATTTTTTATAAGCGTTTACGAATTTCAAAAGCATTTTTCCACTTTAATTTGAAAAGCTACAGGATCAAACATAATTGCCTTAAAACAGAACAACAACCCAAGTGAGTGCATAACTCTCTTGGCTGCCAGAGGAAATGTGGTGGGCAGGATGTGTTTAAGATTTTCAAGCCGGAGCCTCCCATCTCATATATTTCATTAAATTCGACCCACATCACCTCTCAGAGGCTCAGCAGTACATTCCTGCCTCCCAGAGCAACACTCATCGACTACACACTTAACCTACACTGACATTACACCTGCCGTTTATGCTTTGATATACTGCTAATAAATCACATTTGAAAGGTGCTATGATCTTTAATCTGCCTGTGCATTTCCTCTCAAAGGAGAAGCAGACGAGGGTGATCAGGCACTTCCACTTCCACGGCTGGCCTGAGATCGGCATCCCGGCCGAGGGGAAAGGCATGATCGACATCATCGCCTCAGTGCAGAGACAGCAGCAGCAGTCTGGGAACCATCCCATCGTCGTACACTGCAGGTAGTGCCAAATTGCTCTTTTAGGAACTAGGGTTGCGCACAGTCTGTACAGTACATACTACACTGCTGATCACGCCAGAAGCGCATTTCTCTCCGCTATGCAGGTAGCTTTGTTTCAATATTATTTGTGTGAACAGATTGGCAATCCGTGCGTAAAAGTTTAAATACAAAACACTATTTACAGAAATATCTTGAAAATACACAAAAAATTGTCTTTAAATACATTCATTAATTAACAAATAAATGAAAAGCATTTGTAAATATATATATTAATAAATATATTATTATATACCTGGGGCCATTCCGTGTGGAGCCTGCATGGGTTCTCTCCGGCTTCCTCCTGCAATCCAAAGACATGCACCTTACCATACTATTGACTTTCTTTTTTTAGCCTTACTATACTATGACTTTATGACTTAGTAGTATGCCATAGTATGACTTACTATACTATGACTTTATGAATTATAATACAATGATTTCTTTATGCTTTAACTATACTATGACTTTTTTATGCCTTACTATAACTTCATGACTTAGTATAGTATGACATTATGACTTACTATAATGAGTGGTCAGAACTGGTGCCTCACAGTGAGAAGGTTCTGGGTTCTCCTGGCGCCATTCTGTGTGGAGTTTGCATGTTCTCCTTGTGCCTGCATGGGTTCTCTCGGCTTCCTCCTGCAATTTAAATACATGCACATTAGGTTAATAAGCAACTCTAATGCATTAGCATACCATTGACTTTTTTTTAGCTCTACTATACAATGACATTTTATGCCTTACTATGACTTTTTTATGGGGCAGCAAGGTGGTGCAGTTGTTAGAACCCCAAGTCTGGGGCCTTTCTTTGTAGAGTTTTTATGTTCTGCATGGGTCCTCTCTGGCTTCCTCCTGCAATCCAAAGACATGCACATTAGGTTAATTGGTGAATCTAACCCCATAATGTACTATGACAAACGCAATTTTAAGCAGGTGATCACTTGTTTTCCGAAAGTGGCCGAGTGATACAAGTCGATTTTGGTTCAGACTGGCAGAAAGTTTGTTTCAAAACTCTGTGTGTGTAAAATTGACATCTACAAGTGTAGAACTGAAATCCACAAATGCTTTTTCGCTTCACAAATAGAAAATTGATTCAGTCTGTTTTAAAAGTTGAAAATGTTAGGAAGATATTCACAAATGCTTTTCATTTATTTATAGATTTTGTTTGTATTTGCGGAAGGTGTTTTATATTTACACATTTTACGCAAGGATTGTTGATCTGCCTCCATATCCTACACACAACAAGCAGTTTCATTACAATCAGCTGATCAGAGTGTGCTCGCCTGTTAAAGGCGTCAGTTCTATGTGATTATATAAGTTAAACTGTAGCAGGCATATTAAATTCAGTATTAATTTAATACTAGAAAAAATAAGTTACTACATTAATGGCAAAACAAGTCAAATATCGCCCTGACATTTGCAAAGGCATGAGCAATCAGCGATCGTTCTAATGCGCGTTGATCACCGATATCATCGTCCATCGGCACGACCCTATTAGGCACGCATTCAGACATTTCTGTTTTCCTATTTGTGTTTTGCTTATGACGACTTTAAAAACTGTTGGATTTGGTATTTGTAAGCAATGTCCATGCTTGAAGTAACTTAAGTGTAATTTGTGTGTCTGCTGCAGTGCTGGTGCAGGGCGAACCGGTACGTTCATTGCACTGAGCAATATCCTGGAGCGAGTCAAGGCAGAGGGCCTGCTGGACGTGTTCCAAACTGTGAAGAGTTTACGCATGCAGAGGCCTCATATGGTCCAAACTGTGGTAAGTATCAGCTCAAGTGGATCCTAAAGTGTTTTAAAAAGTTAAATATAATTTATCTCTTCCAGTTTTTTGCTTTATCCTGATCAGAGTTGTTGTGATTCTTATACTAGTATCAGAAATGCCTCTGATACTCCCCAAAATACTGAATCAGGTATCGGTGAGTACGCGAGTCTATGCATTGATCTGATCCCACGTAATTGTATTGATAACCTTTATAGTTTCACACTCAGATAAAAACAGCCGTTTTCTTCTTCGCTGCTCTAAAACAGTAGCCTACACAGAAAGCTCTGCTGTGCAGCTACTGTTATAAAGCAGCAAAGAAGAATTGATTTCTGGTAAATATCAGTTTTTCTGTTTTAACCGGTATAGCTGTTCTAGCCTTAATGGCTTTGGTCACGTGATGCTACTCAGCCAATCAGTGTGACTTGAGTCACTGAGATATCACATCACATCCATAATCCTGACTGAAACCAAGCTAACAGGCTGACATCTAAGTCATCTTTTCTGTTTTTTCTCCCCACAGGAACAATATGACTTCTGCTACAGGGTGGTACAAGACTTTGTCGACATTTTCTCAGACTATGCCAATTTTAAATGACGAGATTTGCCTTAAACATGGTTTTTAATGTTGTTTTCTAAAGCTGGTTTGTCAGTTTTAAGTGTTTCTTTAACTTGGTCAAATGATCTTCTATTTTGCTATGCACTTGTCCTACCATTAACTTCAAAACTCCATCCTCGCTGTAATATAGTGTATGTCAGTGAATGAAAATTGTAAATGAAAAAAGTTAGATTAATAATGTATATTTCACATCATGTATGATAATTATTTTGTCATGAAGTGTTTCAGACATGGTCTCTTATTTCAGTTTTGTTGTATAATATTGTACTTTAAATGTTTATCTAAGTGTTATTTTGAATTGACCACGTAATATTTTTAAAAAGTTGTTATTGTAAATGTATTTATGTATTGGCAATGACATTCTAGTCTTGCATTTGGAGAACACAACAGGAATGTTAAGAGTTGGGTTTGTTTTTTTTTTTGGTTGTTGATGTTTTCAAATACATACATTCTTTCATTTATTGATGACTTCTATTTGAGATTAGAGGCGTTATTGAAACTATTTTTCATTGTCCTCAAGCTTCATGCCCATCACGAATGTGATACTTTTCTAATGGAAATATTGCCAGAAAAAAACGAATGAATCACCTCGGCCATAATGCAGAGAACAAGGTTATGCAACACAGGCTGAGGTGACAATATTGGGGTGGATTTCCAATATAGATTCAGGCAGAAGTTTCACAGTTAGATGTATCACAGGGTCATAGAAGACCATTAAACCGGTTTTGTACCTCAAAATGTGGTATGCAACTGCATTTAACATGGATGTAATGTTACTACGATCTGCCTTTTCTCTGTAGACAACAAAAAATATTTTGCTAAAAATGACTGCACATAAAAAAGCACATATAACTAAGCCTTTTGCCAAGAACCTGCAATATTTATTGCTTTATTTGTATTATAGATTAGAGATTTTTCACAAATCAGTGCCAATGTACCTTTTTTTAAAGACATGGAAAAGTAGAACAACCCTAAATTGAAGGCCGAGCATTGACAGGTCATCCTAGGAAAAGGTAAGTGTGGTCGCTAAATACAGTAGAGTCAGTACAATTTCATGACAACCTGTGTGAGATGTATAGTTAACACCCACAGGAACGCATTAAACAGTAACATCAGATGAGTCTTGTATTTGCAAAAACCACAGTAGACAAATGTGGTGCTTCAGTGCCTGCTTAATGCCAGAGCAACCAAAAAACTAACAATGTTTTCACTTCCTTTACGTTTTAGATTAAATGGGTTCAGGAAAGTGTGAAATCTTAATGTGAAATGACTTTTCTGTGCATTTCTTCTGAGGCAGTAACTCCCATCCATCTGGTACTCTGAAATTAAACCAAACACTTGGAATAATCTGACCCAGCTCTGCTTTAATCCTCAATGAAGTGTGTAATTTTGTTGATGCTGTATGTAAATACTACATGACGAAGTGCTAACATTGTGAAAGTCACTGAGCAGCAAGGAACTGTCAAAGTGATTGGTCATATTTTTCTGTGCTATCTGTCTGTGGGGGATTGTGAGGCGTAGCACAAGAAGAAACCGAGACTTAACAAAACAACCCAAGTCTATTTTCCCATGGCTTCTATTCGGTCTCTTAAGACTATTGAGGAGGGTCTGTTTAGACTGCAGCTCTTTGCCTTTGCTCTCTCTCTGTGGGTGGTTCTATCCCTTTTTGGATTCTCAATGTCTTTGAAATGCAAGTTGCAATATTAAATTCATCTGAAAATGCTTCATGGGTCAGTGAAACTTTTTTCAGATGTCTCTGCTCAAGTTTGCGACTCTGCAACAACCTGGATACAGAATATGTTTCATCTCAACTACAAGCTACTGCAACTACAGTCTTCACCAGTGGCAACAATGACACTTGAAACTGACCAACAGTCCAAAATGTAAAGATAGTCTCTATACTACCATTGAGAACTAAGACGTCAGCAAATATCATTTAAGAATCTAAATGCCAAACAGTTATTGATGGATTAATCAATGAATAGACCAAAAGTTTTAACTCAAATTAAAATAAATAAAGGTGGGATTTGAACACAAGCCTATCTCACAAGCCGAGGACCCAGGTCTAGTTCAGATGAGACCGTCAGATGGATCCGATGGATCCGATTCATCAGAATCATGATTTTAAAAAATAAAGTCTGACTCTACTTATCATTACTTTACATTAGAGCTGCAACTGACTATTTTCCTTGCACATTATTTTCTTGATTAATCAATTGATAATTTGGTTAATAAAAAGGTCATAAAATACTGGAATATGCCCACCAAACTTAAGCACTAGCTGATTTTACCAAATTACCTGATATTCAGTTTAAAATCACATGCAATTTAGAGAAGCCGCTCACAGTTAAGAGGGTAGAATTACAAAACTCAATTATCAAACTAGTTGCTGATTACTTGCTATCCATTGACAGATTGATTGTCTAATCACTTCAACTCTACACTACATTTTTAGTCAATATACTGCCATTAAGTTCACCAAGTCTCAGACTCAAAATAGTTCCAAACCTACTATTTAACATGCAGTTTTTCTCCTCTTCTTTATCTCTCATTGTGTCTGTTCACTCATGCTGGATAAGAACCTCACAGAAGAGCAAGAATATGAAAATGTGGAATTATATAAGGAAAGAGGAAATGGAAAACTGAATGCACAACTAAAGGCAAGTCGAAAAGAAAAAAAAAAAAAAAAACAGACAATCATGCAAAATACTGAAAAAACCAAACTAATTCAAAACATGCTCAGTAACATGGAGGCACGGTTTCTCCTGTCTTCAACACATTTCTATTGTGTTCGAAGGAAAACAAACTGGAAATAAGTCACCAGTGAAGATCGTATATATCATCCTCTGCTCGAACAACCATAAAATTGCACCTGTTATCAGCAAACAGCAAATTTCTTGACCTTGAACTGTAAGTAATAGTTTAAGCCAACAGGGGGCAATGTACCTCAATCTATATGTACATTAGAAACTCTTAATTAAAAGGGGAACATTCAACTGATAATAGAATGTCAATTTCTTTAATATTATACTAGTCAGTCAAAATTCGGTCAGCTCAGTCTATCTTTAAATTGACTACCAAAGCGTGAGAGCCGCTGTGATGGTGAATGATACGTCGACGCCTACATGTCAGCGTAATGAAACTGTGATTCAGATTATAGAGAACAATAAAAGGTCATTTAGTTTTAGTTGCTCAAAGTTAAAGTTCAGAAACTCACATGACCTTCAATGATTCTAATTAATGATTAGTATTGTAAGAGCAAGCAGGGTGACTTCTTTTTTTAAGCAACAAAAAATGAATCACCTTGAATTGAAATCAAGTTCCACATCCACATAAATCCAAACAAACAATCATTTCTGTATTAGAAACTGCTTTCCACTACATTTCTACAGAGACTGATGAGACTTCACAAGCGCCAAAAGCACACAATGTAAGACAGGAAAGAAAGTTTCTCCGCATGATACGTG